CTGCTCATGCACATCTATTTACCTAAACATTCCCCACCTTCCATCCCAGCGCCTGAAACACGAGACTGTCAGTAGTGTACACAGAGGAGACTGTAAATAAGTTTGTGTTTGTCTTATTCCTTCCCTCTGACTCCAGGGAGAAAATAAAGTCAAGAAAGAAACCGCTGAAACTATCCAGCAAGTCAGTTCACTTGATTGGCATAGCTACATGGTGCCTCCGTACAGGACTCAGGACACCCCTGAGATTCGGGGCCATTCATATTCAATACCGATATCTAACAATGCAGAAGATAAAGCAGCCATGCTGTAAAGTATGAACACCGGAGTCCCTTCTCTGAGTCACATGAAATGTTCGACTGGAGTGTGCCTTTAAATACTGTTTTATATTTTGCAATACTCCTGCATTTCCCAAATGTTATCCCTTTATAAACTCTGCAAGTGCAGAAAAATACCTGTTTATGTGATAGTGCGCTCCTCATTTCCTGGCTGGGTTAAAAACACGCCTGCTTCTGCTGAGCTGAAATCAGTCCTGACTGTTCCCCCCTGCTGGCAGGGCCGGTGCTGCCACTAGGCAAACTAGACAGCCGCCTAGGGCGCAGCCTCGACCACTCACCCCCCTCGGTGCCAACCGTCTATTTCAAATTGGAAAAGCCAATAGCAGGCTGGCTATTGCACCCTCCCACTAAGCAGAAGAGCGGAACTTAGAGACAACTTTCTCTCTCAGGTCCGCTCCTCTGCTCAGTGGGTGGGGTTTCAATAGCCAGTCTGCTATGAGCTATTTCCAATTAAAACAGCCAATAGCAGTCTGGCTGCTCACATCCACCTGTCGCCTGCGGAAGGTAGCCGGCAGGAGAATGGGGCCGCGCCGTTGGGGGATTGGGGGTGAAAGTAGGTGGTCTTGCCTAGAGGTCAAAATAGTCTATCACCGGCCCTGCCTGCTGGACTACAGACCACCATCCCCTTTTGCTCGTCTCTAACAAAAGAATGGGGTCGTTCTATGGTCCAGTAGGGCAGAGGCTGACATCACTGCTTGTGATTTCCCTGTAGCAGAGGCAATGTTGTCAGCTCACTGCAGGAAGTTATGAGCAGAGGTCGCAGAGATATACTGAATATGTCTAATTTTTAACGTTGTCCAGACATAGATTTAAACCATTACACACCCAGAAAATCCATTCTCCATAAAACATGACTGATGGATTCGTCAATTTTTTGTCCCTCCGTTAAAACCCCAATAAACACTCGGACTGCGCGACATGGATTTTAACGGCCACAGCAGCCCTTTTATTAAACAAACAACTTTAACAATAACCAAAAGTAATAAACCAAATAATATACAAAAATAATACTGTAAATGATTGTTGACCTGAGAAGGGGTCTTTGGGTGCCCAACAGCCCAAAAAGGCCTCTCCTAACACTCCACTCATGTCCCCAGCCACACCCCAACCAGCTCGAGGACAACACCACAAAAATTCAGGGAGGGAGGGTGGGACAACCTGCTTCCTACATCGATTTCCAGAAAGAGGACGTCCCTCAGCCCCTCCAGATCCTTCCCATGTGGCTCCTCCCGGACACCTGACTCCTACGTCCAATCAGGTAAGAGCAGCTATTCCCATTTATTTTTTAACCCTTTCTCCCGGGACTATTCCTCCCCCCAGTCATGTAGCCCCTCCGCTTAGTCTCTCCGTGTCTGTCTATATATAAAAAGAAATCTTATTGTGTAATAACATTATGAATAGGGAAGAGGGTCTTACTCAAAAGAAGTCATAAAGAATTTGGGGACAGACGGATTTGGAAAACTCCATTCTCCTTCCCTGGGCAAGTCTTCGACCCTCCAACCATCACCACCACTTTCATCGATTGTCCAGTGATTCAATTCCTCTACAGCGAGGGAGACGACGACATAGAATAAAATGGGATGATGATAAGGATGAACGTTAGATACTGGAACACGCGGCAATTATTAGAAACAACATGTTTCTTCCAAGGCTTGCGGTACCGGGAGAAATGTTATCATATAAATATTCATTGTAGACACAAGCGTTAATTATATTTATCTGTGTCATTAATATGAAATTAAATTCCTGGTCCCTCCACCACTTAAAGGGGATTCTGCATAAAGAAATATAGAAAAGATGACATAGTAGAACTGTTAGCCTTCCGTGTATGCAACAACCATTCTCATATACTAGACTGTCATTCTGTTATTCTGCCACTAGGTGTCAGTAGTATGGTTGAGTCAATGTAGTGTTCCCTCTTGTGTATTGCATGGTTATGATGGAAGTGGTTGTCTCCATGTTCCAGCATCTTATCACTGGTAAGAGACAATTCTGCAGCAGCGTTCCAACAGATTATGGGTCGGGATGAGCATAGTAAGTATGTTGTTTTTAATCATCATACAGTGACGACTATTAGATAACACCGATATCTACACCGATGGGGTTTCAGTGAGGCATCTGTACAACTGTACACTGAGTGGCCAGATTATTATGACCCCCCATCAGTACTTGGTTGGGCCGCCTCGTGACTCCACGAGATGATGAAAGGTGATGCGAGGAATCTGACACGGCGCTGTTGCCCTTCTGTTGTCTTGTACCAGTCTTGCCCCTCCCCCGTTCTGCCCTAACATTGACTAGTCGCTGACGGCCACAATTCGCACGTTCAGACCCAGATTTTCGGCTGACAGTCCGGTCTTTAAACACTTTAACAATGAGCCGCTCCTGAACATGTAACGAATTCTGCTGTTTTGCTGATACTCGCTCCATGGCTCCGAGCGCCAACAATCATCCCGCGTTCAAAGGCTGTTAAATCGCGTTGTTTCCCCGTATCTTCAGAAACAAATCACTTCTACTGTCGTGGTAACCAACCCGCTTCCCTATTTATAATGGTCTGGCCCTCTAGCAACTTCAGTGCCAAATTATAGCTCATTTGCCTACAAACGTCAGGTGGTCATAATAATCCGGCCACTCAGTGTATATAATAATCCGGCCACTCAGTGTATATAATAATCTGGCCACTCGGTGTATATAATAATCCGGCCACTCAGTGTGTATTACTGTTGAAATTATAATTTATTTAAACAAACATTTCTTATTAAACATCTGACATTGTTACACATCTTCCTGAACACTGTACATCGTTAGCATATCTCCATATTTTTGTTACAGCTCTTGTTTTTGTGTCATATTCAAAAAAATCAAGTAGCATATATTAACACCACTGTACAACCGTTATCCAATGCCTATTGTATCCAAGAGCTTGTAGTTTCTTTTCTGCCAACGCGTTTTTCATTAGAGCTTCATCAGGTGAGGTTTTTTTTCAATGAAAAATCCCATATTACCCATATGTATAATAATAATAATGATAATAATAATAAATTGCTCACCCAGACCACATGGATTTTTGATCAGGTTCCTCTTCAGGCTAGAGAGAAGAACATTAGTATTAGTAGTACGAAATTAGTACGAAATTATTAGTACGATTTTTGCAGATCGAACTGGACCGGAACACAGGCACTAGTGTGCCACGCGTTCGGGGCTGCGTGTGTGTAAAAAAAAAAAATCTGAATTGCAACTTGAATTTGTTAAAGCCACAGAGCACTTTTTCTGCTTTTTAGTTCTCTTGTTTTGTGTATTTTATTATTTCTTGTTTTCTCAACATATAGGAAATAATATGAAAATAAAAACAAAATTGTATATTGTCCCCACAGCAAGTCTCTCCATATCTGCTTCCTGTGTGGTCGGTTGCGGTCTCACCTGTTTAGTGAACACATGTCTGCAGTTACTGTCTGAGCAGGTGAGCTGGATCTTTCCTTCACATATGTAAAGAAACAAAACATATCATTAGAATTGCACATAGTATACAGAACTATAGAAGTGACATTGTTGTATGGCCGCGAGGGAGCTCCATCCATACGTGCAGTGCTTGTACAGCTCCCTCGCGTGTCCTGTTGAGGTGCCTGCACCGGGGTGACGTCACATTCTGGCTGCTAACAAAGTCCAAATCCCATTCGCACTGCCACGGTCTCAAAACCACAAGGCATATGCAGGGGCGTAACTAGAAATTGTGTATGGGGCCCTGTGATTTCTAGTTACCCCCCTTGCAGAGCCCACCTGAGAGCGACCCTGCAGAGCCCACCATAGAATCTCTATGGTGGGCTCTGCAGGGTCTCAGGTGGGCTTTACACCCCTTACCTGTCAGCCCCGATCCGCCTCCTCCATGGACTCTGGTGGGCGCCGCCGCCTCTGACGCCAGGCCCCGCCTCCTCCTCTGTTCCCGGTCCCCGTCTCCTCCTCCACTGCAGGGTCCAGCCTCCTCCTCCGCCGCTGTTGGCTGTCACTGACAATGATCTGAACAGCGGCGCGTTCCTCTTCACAGCCAGCAGCATGAGATGCCATAGTGAAAATAATGATAATAATAATAAATTGCTCACCCAGACCACATGGATTTTTGATCAGGTTCCTCTTCAGGCTAGAGAGAAGAACATTAGTATTAGTAGTACGAAATTAGTACGAAATTATTAGTACGATTTTTGCAGATCGAACTGGACCGGAACACAGGCACTAGTGTGCCACGCGTTCGGGGCTGCGTGTGTGTAAAAAAAAAAAATCTGAATTGCAACTTGAATTTGTTAAAGCCACAGAGCACTTTTTCTGCTTTTTAGTTCTCTTGTTTTGTGTATTTTATTATTTCTTGTTTTCTCAACATATAGGAAATAATATGAAAATAAAAACAAAATTGTATATTGTCCCCACAGCAAGTCTCTCCATATCTGCTTCCTGTGTGGTCGGTTGCGGTCTCACCTGTTTAGTGAACACATGTCTGCAGTTACTGTCTGAGCAGGTGAGCTGGATCTTTCCTTCACATATGTAAAGAAACAAAACATATCATTAGAATTGCACATAGTATACAGAACTATAGAAGTGACATTGTTGTATGGCCGCGAGGGAGCTCCATCCATACGTGCAGTGCTTGTACAGCTCCCTCGCGTGTCCTGTTGAGGTGCCTGCACCGGGGTGACGTCACATTCTGGCTGCTAACAAAGTCCAAATCCCATTCGCACTGCCACGGTCTCAAAACCACAAGGCATATGCAGGGGCGTAACTAGAAATTGTGTATGGGGCCCTGTGATTTCTAGTTACCCCCCTTGCAGAGCCCACCTGAGAGCGACCCTGCAGAGCCCACCATAGAATCTCTATGGTGGGCTCTGCAGGGTCTCAGGTGGGCTTTACACCCCTTACCTGTCAGCCCCGATCCGCCTCCTCCATGGACTCTGGTGGGCGCCGCCGCCTCTGACGCCAGGCCCCGCCTCCTCCTCTGTTCCCGGTCCCCGTCTCCTCCTCCACTGCAGGGTCCAGCCTCCTCCTCCGCCGCTGTTGGCTGTCACTGACAATGATCTGAACAGCGGCGCGTTCCTCTTCACAGCCAGCAGCATGAGATGCCATAGTGACCCAGGCAGCCCGCACAGCATCAGGGGATGTCCTGACCGGGCCCCACAGCGGCCGCCTGGGTCGCTATGGCGATTGTTACTCCACTGGGTATATGTGGTGCCCTGGTGACCACACGGATGGCGCCGTGCAAAACACTAATAGTAAATAAAAGTAAATCACCGGCACACACTTGAAGGGTTTTTAAAGTATTGATATGTTTTTTCAATACCCAATGTCACATACTGTCATACGGTGCTAACGTTTCGGGTCCGCTCAGGGATCCTTCATCAGAGCAACAGTGACGAGCGACAATACTTTAAAAACCCTTCAAGTGTGTGCTGGTGAATTACTTTTATTTACATTCTTGCTCCTGACACCTCTACAGGACACGCAAGGGGGCTGTACAAGCAATGCACGTATGGATGGAGCTCCGTCACAGCACATCAGCCCACACTGGAACCCAGGCTGAGGATCCACTCCAGTTCTTATGAGGTTGGGAGACTGGGTGGTTCCTAGGTGTGTGTGAGATTGTGTCTGTGTGTGTGTTGTGTGTTTTTGAGGGCCCGGTTACACTAGTACAGTGCCTCAATCGTACAGTCCTGTGCAAATAACGCACTGTACCATGTAATCGCACCTACCGCGCGTTCTGGTGCATCGTGTTGCCATTCATTTGAATGGCACCCCCAAACTCACCCCCCGCCCACAGTTCGATCGCCCATACTGGAACGCATGCTGGTGCGACTCGTGTCACGACTTAATGACCAAGTTCAAATGTGGGTCCCCAGGGCCGGCCTTAGGCCTTTAGGCGCCCTGTGCGAGAAAGCTTTACAGCGCCCCTCAGTGGCCACACCCTTTAGTGGCCACGCCCCCGTAACCACACACATTTCCCCCAATATATGCACCATTTAAAGACTCCTATTTTGTTAAGCCGCAAAGAAACATATTAAAAAGTGTGATAAAAATAAAACTTTTATTCAAAGGTATTAAACTTGTAGGCACAATAGAAGTATTCTTATCAAATAAAACAACAGAAGGTAAACAATAAATGTCAAAATACAATAGAGTCTATAAAAATAAAGTGTCAGGTCGTCATGCTGACCCCTTTTTTCAAGTAAGTGCATCTAGAAAAGTAAAAATAAAAAAGAGGGGGAGAGAAGCCGCCCACAGGACGAGCTGTGACGGCCGCACGGCGCCCTTGTTGCCATGGCGCCCTGTGCGGCCGCACGGCTCGCACACCCCTAAGGCCGGCCCTGTGGGTCCCGAGGTTACACAAGTTGAGAACCACTGATCTAGAAGACAGAGGAAGAAGCATCTCTTACATTCGCTGTCAGGTCATCCTTGACATACAGGCATATCCCCCCCCCCTTCTTCCTTCACTATCCCTTCTAAGAATAGAATATCCATCTATATTTGCTGCCCAGTCATGTGATCCATCCAGCCAGGTCTCTGTTATTCCCACTAGATCATATTCCTCCCGGAGTTGTAAGAGTTCCAGCTCCTCCAGTTTGCTGGCCAGGCTTCCAGCATTGTTGAACATGCATTTCAAGTTTTCACTTGTGTTAACTTTATTTCTATCACCTATAATCTGTCTATTACTGCAGGCTTCCATATTATGTGTATTTGTTTTCCCTCATTTCTGTTGTGATCACCTCACTCCTCATTGTTTTTAGGATATTACCTGTCTCAGTCCTTTTCGATCCCCCCAGCTCCTCCAACCTTTTGCCATTTTTTCCCCCCAGCAGAGCTGCACCCTCCACATTTAGGTGCAGTATGTCTCTGCTGTAGAGCCGGTTGCCGATCGAGAAGTCTGCCCAGTTCTCCAAAATCCCAAACCCCTCCTGTCTACACCAGCTTCGCAGCCACTTGTTCAGCTCCCTAAGTTCTCGGCGCCGCTCTGGTGTGGCTCGGGGTATAGGAAGTATTTCAGAAAACACCACCTTGGAGGTCCTTTTCTTAAAGGAGAACTATGGGGTTAAGGCTTTTCCCCATAGTTCTAATTAGGGTAACGGGAGGACACAAACTAGCGTCTCCCGTCACCCTAAGCTCAGTACACCGCGAGCTGTAGCTCAATATATACTGAGACGCCGCAGCTGAAGCGGATACCGACAATTATGCTGGGATCCGCCCAGATGTGTGAGTGACAGCTGGCTCTGCCTATCTAGAGGCAGAGCCTGCTGTACCCGCCCCCTCCCCCGTCCGATCCGCCAGTCAGCGCTGGCGGATCGGAGCGGGGAATCCAGCCCCTCCCCTGTCACGGCAGAGAGCCGTGACAGGATCGAGAGGTAAGCGAACGCCGGTATGTGTTCGCTCACTTCCCGATCTACTGAGCCGACCTGTGACAGTCTCATTGTCACAGGTCGGCTAGAACTATGAGGTGAGTGAAAAGCACTCGCCTCATAGTTCTCCTTTAA